AATGATGTTAATCATCGGCAATATTCAGTTGAATTTTTTAAACTAATTGAAAAGGACTTTCGTAATTTAAAAACGCTTTGCATGAACAAAGGTTGTTCGTTAAATGACCAGCTGATACATGATCGACGATTGACATTAAATACGGTGAATATATTAGCTGTAGATGATGAAAATATGAGCAAAGACTTTGGTAAATGTATGTTACTTATGGTACCAAACATTAAGATATTGATCATATGTTCTAGAAATCTGATGGAGATTACAAATAACTTTAGTGACCAGGATTTGCGAATAATTTGCTCGAATATACTTAAAGTTGCTCATTCAGACGATAATGGGAATTTAATTCAGTCAAAAGAATATTTTGACTATTTTCCAAATCTTCTTAAGTAGAGTCATATTTTGTGCTTTCAATAAAAGTCATTGAATCAGAATAACAGAATATCTTAGTATCATGTATCCTATATCTTTATTACAAGTACAGATTGTGATGCAAGGTAGAACATTTGTTATTAGACAAATGCAGCACTAGCTAGACTCGAAATGAGCACTAGAAGCGTTGGTTGGAACTTTTTCGCTATTCTTCAGATCAAATATAATTGTAGTTACTGAATAATAAATGTACTGAAGTGTCTTTTATCAAAATATAAGTTGGATAAGGTTTCAAAACATTTCCTGGATATTCTTTTATACATCAAAATAACATATTTAAACTCGCTATCTCATTAACCTAGATGGAAGAAACATAGCAAATGAATCTCTATAACTTGTGAACATTATAAGATGAATGAACTATTTCGATTAAAATATATAAGTTAGTGCCTTTCTTATTCTATCCCATTGTCTACTGCAGCGCGTATATAGAAAAATGAAAAGCGGTAAGAGTAAAAGAAGAGACGACTGAAAGCGGTATATTTGATCTCTACAGTTCAGCTATATTTTCTTTTTTCTTTGCTTCTGTGCTCTAGAATTGCCATTTAATATGATTTCTGCTCTGTAACTGAGCAACATAAGAGGATTATAGTTACTCAAAACATCTAGAAAACTCCACAAACACGTTCTAAAACAGCTCTGAATCATGAAGAATCAGGACAGACGCTGTCTTTTCTTCAAAACAATCACTTTTGTTCAACAGCGCTATGTTCAAGGAGAATGAACGCTACGCATTTTGCGCCATATATAAAAAATATTATCTTTGCAACCGTTCACACTTTATTGATGAAACTTTTCGAAAATGTTTAACTAATTGTCGTTATTCATTACCCAAAATTTCAGTTCAATCCGTCTGGCGCAAAAAAGGTCGATTTTTTCAGCCAATGAACATCTTTTGGGTACCCTTTTTCACTTCACACTCAAGATGGGCTGCGTGCCAGTCGCCCGTTCCTGTGTGTGAAAGTACTTGAAATAATTTTCCCTAGAAAACTATCCAAACAGTGTTTCAATCACATTCTGTTATGCTCACAATGACTTGCATTCACCTTGCGGAAGTAAAAATCTAGCTTTAAAGTGCGTATATTTAAATTCATAAAAGTACGCTTAACCTAAGAGCTCCGATACCCGGTGCTGTTCTAGAACATCAATATATTCGGGACCAATATTACCTCGAAACTACGGAACTTTCTAAAAATTTTCATATTTTCGAGGGTAGGGGTTCCTCTTCCTATACATTTATTTGCATATCCATATCTATAAAAGTAGAGAAATTTCAGTAATTTCGAGGAGATTTTGGTGATTACTGGGATATTGCTGAAATGTCTTTTATTTGTTAGATAGAGATATCTGTTAGAATAGGGACCCCTATCTCCGAAAATAAGATAATGTTTAGAAATTACAGTAATTTGGAGGAAATTTTCGTAAGTACGCCTAAGTTTCTATAGTTTGGTTTATTTATTAGATAAATACAGTAAATAAAAGAAAAGTTTTGAAATTAGGAGGAAGTTCAGTAGATGGAGAAATTATTTTCGTCATTGTGTAGACAGTCGGATGTTATTATAGTTTGAGGGATATTTTGCTAGGTTTGGACCTGTGGTGAAGAAAAACGTCTGTAGTAAGATGCAGCCTTTGTTCTTCGATCAAACATTATAATGGTTGTGAGTGAGTTTTGTTGTATGTTTACGATAGTTTTATGAAGGAGAAAAGAATTACGTCAGTTGTGAATGTGCAATTTATTTGTTTTAGCTTTCAGATGAAAGTCATGATTATTTACATAGTTATACAATTGTGTATGAACGTACATCGTTTTATCATTGTATGTTCTTTAATAGCGATTAATATTTGAAAATTTTTTTTTCTTTTTATGTGCTGTTGGACAGCGGGAGTCATTATTGATACTATTATCCTGTAGATAGTCTTTGAAAAATTTTAAATGTAAATCAATTAAAGTATTGTTGTCATCAGAAATACTGTTTTCTTTTTGATGAAGAATGGCTTCTTACGGTGTTGTTTCGTCACCGCCAAGAAGATCGATGTTTTGATTATCAGTGTCCAACGACCTGGTACGATCTAGTTCTCGATTTTCTTGATGATCTAATGCCTCATGATTTGTACGTAAATCGTCTGTCATGCACCGAGCTTGAGACAATTTAATAAGTTGGTTATATCCCAGTTAAAAATTTTTAAAGAAAAGGATAGAAAATGATATTGTTTTGTTTTAGGATACAATGTATGATACATTATGACATATCGCTGCGTGTTATTCAAAGTCAATGATATATCATGATATATCTTTATTCCGGTTCATCGTAAGAAAAAGATACATCATGATACATCATTTTCTTCAAACAAAATGCGATATATCCTTCTATATCGTATATAACTGGATATATCTAAAGTATCGTCTATCTTGGATATATCGTGATATATCCTTTCTACCTCCCAAAACAAACGATATATCCATACGCGTCCTCCAGAGTAAGATATATCCCGACCACCTTGAAACTAGCACTGAGATATTTTGTAGTTTTGTTGTAATCGTAGTAAATTCGCATCGTCGAGTTTACATACAATACATAACAATTTATTTTACATCCAAATATCAATGCAACCATTTTCACAATTTAAAAAATAATTAATATTTTCATAAATATCATCTAATATTCGTTTTAGATAAATTTTACCATTTTCATCAAGTATATCATCATTCCAAAAACGACATTTTAAACAATGTAATGTTAAACTCAATGATCGTATAATTGGTACTATACAATCATAAATAATAATATTAGATTTTAACTTATTTATAAATGATAACCTTAATATTTTTATATTAGAAAAATGTTTAAGAAAAATTGATAAATTATTATAATTATTTTCATGTATTTCAATGATATTTAATTCAGAAATATGGTTAAAATAATGTTGATATAAACTCTTATGAGTTATTTTATCAATATTTGGACTTGAAAATATATTACATAGACTGAAATTATCAATATTAATTACTTTAACATTAGGTGTCATTAAAAATAAAGCTATAATATCATCAAAACTCTTTTCTGTAAAAAATTTTATATAATAAAAAGTAATCGTACTACAATGTTTGAAAACTGGAATGATATTAACATCATCATCATTATGATCATCCGTCAGCTGAAATTTTCCATATATATTTAAACATTTAAGATATAAATATTTTTCATTAATTAATCGAAGTTTACTATATGATAATGTACTGTTTAAACAGAAACCATTTGGTGTTATCGCTTCAAGAGTTTGAAATGGTTGACGTGATTCATTATCATGTTTTGTACAGCAATAATTAATAACATCATACGATAAAAAATCACAATTATTATCAAATGCATATGGTATTGTATAAAGATAATAATTATATAAATATGAATCTTGGTGACAGACAATAATAGATGATGTTGCTTTCAACATGGTCATCCAACTATATGTTTTAAATGATGATATTATCGTTGATGTTAAAACTGTTGTTGTGGTCGAATAAGAACGAAAAAAGAAATTCAATTCAGATAAGTTTTTTAAATTTGATAAACTTTGTTCAAGACGATATCCGTCGATAATACCAGTTAAATAACCTAGAACGGAGAATAAAATATATACAGGTAAGAAGATTTATTCTTTCAATACCGTTAGTTTCAGAATTTAAGAAATATCATAGTTTGAAGACATTCATTCAAAAAAAATGGGATTTATCAAATTGTAAATTGAGGGATACAATCCAATCCTATCAGTTAAAAACGCATAGATTAAAAGAGAGTTCACTATAGCTTTGAAGAATCGTCTTACATTTTAATTTTCATTTATTCTGGATATTAACAAGGAGTCTTCTATCTCAGAAAGTGCATCAAATCTAAAAGCTTTCTCCGCTTTTTCGGACGAGAATTTTTCAGTGCATGGTCTGCTGTTTTTCATACACTAAAATATATTTTGACATTTTTGTGAATGGTTACAGAAAGGTTCACGGAAAAACGACAGACATGTGCACAGAGATATTTTTGTGCACGGTTTTTGTATTCTGACAGAATAAAGCTTATATCAAATACCATTCCGATCTGTTATTTCAACAATCACTATCTGCCTAAGACTGCCTGACTTTCTCAGATAATGGCTCTTAATTTTCAAATGTTACCTTATCAATAATATTTACATGCGAAACATAAAACATTAGCGTCTCGGGTGCCTGAAAAAAGCTACAGAAAACAACCTTCTCAACCTTAAAACTTGTACTTCTTAAAAAATAGAAAAGATCTTTCACCAAGGTTCGCTTGTCATTTTTGAGCCACGATCTTTACTAATAAGACTCTGTTTTGCTGGTTTTTTTGTTTTTAATTTCACCACGGAGGCATAAGTCTATAATGGACGACATAAATTTTGAGATGCTCAGTCCTTGTCTATCCTAATTAACATACAATTATACTTCTAAACCTTTTTTCTTCCTGTCAAGGAAATTAGATCCTAATGTATTCCTATCCTCTACAAAAAGGAAGGCAGAACAAGCTTTTTTAACTTCTCTTTAAAATAAATTTAACTGGTACCTATTCTAAGTGATAATTGTTTTATTGATGTTAAGTTTTTTATCAATAGTTCAATTTGAGTAAATTGTTGCAATGAATAAATTGCATTTATTTGCAATATAAAACTTTTTAAGTTTGGAATTTTATTTGAAATTGTTTTATAATAAATATCCGTTGATATAATATTATTATATTGATGTTTTTGATGATATTCATCATCATCAAACCAATTAATTTTAATATTTCAATAAATGGTATATAATAAATCAATCGAAATAAAATACTATAGAATTCTAATTTAATAGTTAAATATTTTATAAAACATACAGTTGATGGCAGTGGTTGTTCTTGTACGATATGCATAACTGATATACATTCTATTGAAAGTTTATTTAATGTTGAATTTTTGATTATTAAATATTTTACTAAAAACTATCGATGTTGAAGATGATAAACCAATTAGTTTTTTATTATTAATATCATTTGTTATTAATGTTAATTCATATAAATTTTTAAATAAACTAATAAATGGATAAATATCAGT